CACACACAAACACACACACACACACACACACACACACATGCAAATAAATAAATAAATAAATAAATAACTTATTTATATATATATATATATTTTTTTTTTAATTTTGGTGAAGATTTTCGGTGTGACCCTGAGGCAAAAGTTGTTCAGTTTATTTTTCTGCATAATATAGTTTTTTTCGGGAATTTTTGGACGACGTCCGTTTTTTATTTTTCAACGGGATTCAACCGTGATTCAACGGGATTCAACGGGGATTCAATGGGATTCAACGGGGATTCAACGGGATGACAACGGGGTTCAACGGGGATTCAATGGGATGATTTCTTTTTTGGTTCACGTGCGTCCAGCGCGGTGTCCGAGGCCCAATGCACACTCCCCGTTGAACAATATTCAACGGGGGGGGGACCGTTGTACTATTCAACGGGAATTCAACGGGGCCCCGGGGGCTATTCAACGGGTACAACGGAGTTAAAACTTTCCTGTTGCCCGTTGAATAGACTCATAGTCGTTGAACCCCTGTTACAACGCCGCGCTATACCGCATTAGAACGTGGTACAACGTGGCCCGTGAAACTTTTTTTCGCAGGCAAAACATAATCAAAAAAAAAAAAAAGGGGTGTAGATTTCTTTGCACTCTACATCCCCATATTTTTATTTTTATTTTTTGAGGATTTAAATTTGCAAGGAAGATGAGCAATAACGAACTTCGGCAATCAAACAGCATCATACACATGAGACCAGATAGTCTTGACCTCGAACCGAAAGCAGAATTGCGTCACGAGTTTCACCAAATAAGAGCACACCAAAAGCTCATAATTGACAATGCTGGAGTAGTCTCATCATCATCATCATCAACAAAGAACCAATGTTGGTATCCTATCTGGCGCTCGGCGCCCAGACTACAGATGGCAGATCCTATCTAGCCTACTCTACAATGCCGCTGATAACGTCAACAGCTCCCCGAAGTACGAGCAGATCTCGGACAATCCCGCACGCTTCAAGCACCAGGTATGTCTCTTCGACTCTCTCGTATCACTCACAACCTCGTTCCCCAACTCACAGATGCCACTTGCACCCAAGGACCACCCTGCGTCCCATCCAGCATACATCAGCGCAACTCGGCTATGGCTGCCCGCTCCTTCCAGCTCGCCCGTGAGCGCGTGAGCCTGGCAGGCGATAGCGCAGCAGCGCTTGACAATGTGCACAAGCAGCCAGTGCCCGAATGCCCAATGCGGAGGCAGGCCCTTTGCTATATGGAAGTGGCCTGCCTGCTGCTGCGCTGGGCCTTTCCCAAGAAGCTTCCGGCAGGCCCTGGTAGGCTGAGGCCCAGTCCAACCGAATCAGGCCCAAGGCCTGTGGTGGTTACTTGTGCCCAACTGCCCTCGGCCTGTGTTTGGCCCATATCCCGTATCCAGCTCAGGGCCTGCCTTCCATACATGCAAACAGGCGGCCTGGGCCTGGGTGCTCTCAACCAAGTGGCGCTGCGCAACTGCCTGAATTTTCCTTTGTTGCGTGGTGGCCGAAATAGGGACCGTCAGACCCTCGTCGGGCCTCCCTTCTATTTGGGAGGCCGGTGTGCTGCATGACAGAGCCAAAAAGGGGCCCATCGGGGCCTTGGCCTCGCATTCCCTCCTCCATAATTTTGATAGTCCTCTGAGAAGTTCAGTCTTCGATAATCTGTCATTCTTCTTTCCGCAGAGACTTCTCGTATTGAGTTACAGCTTGAGGAGCGGTCTGCATGAGTTCCTCTCTGGTAAACCATCGGTCCTCCTTCGGACCAGTGTGATGCCGGAACCGAACGCGGTACTGCAGTTTTGGCTTCGGTGGATGTCACCTGCCCGTCGGTCTTGGAACTGGCACTGTTTGGCAATTCCCTGTGGTCCACGGTGTCATCAATGTTCACCTCTTCGTCCATGGTTGGGGCCAGCATTAAGCGACGAGAAGGAAACTGGTCGGTTTCTTTAAAAGATGCAAGCTTGGAGGCGTGAAAGACGGGATAAGTACGGAGGTGACCAGGGACCCGGATTATATAGGAAGGCCCATCGATCGAGGCAGGTTGCCCACATGCATAACCTTGCGGCGGGCTACCACCGGGATTACAGCTTCATTGAGAAGCTCAGGTGTTGGCGTCAAGTCTTCGAGCGCATGGGGTGCGTCAAGTCGCAGGAAGTGAAACTCGCTTGCCTAAAAGAAGCGATGATTCCGAACATGGCTAAGAAATTGGGGGCCCAAGACCCGTTGCTGCAGTGCACTTTCAAATCCAAGAAATTTGGGAGCTCATGTGCAAGATCATGAACATGTGGCAGAAGGGTGAGGTCAAAGGCCAAAAACTGAAGCCGACAGCGAAAAGCATCTTAAAACTGGACTAGGATTTGGAATCGAGCGAGTCGGAGGGCACGAAAAAAAACCAGTGTGGGAAGAGGCTAGAAAGGGCAGCTGTGAAGAAGCAAGAAATGACCCTTCTCTATCCTCGAGTGCAAATGCAGGGTAACAAAGTCCCCATGGTCGCTGACGATATGCCTGCGCAACACTGGATAGCCATGGGCAGTATGGCTCCAGAGCATGCCGTCCCTATCCTCCTTGAGGTTATTGCGAAGCAGATCTCGCTCAAGGAGATGGAGAAGAAGTTCCAGCTTGTCAAGAAAGTCGCCTATGTCTGCAAGGCATTCGCAGTGGACGTGGGTGATGATGGCTTCAAGGAGGCCGGGAGACAGTTTCCTCTCCACACGAAGAAAAAACTTTTGGAGAAGTTCGTCGGTGGCATCAGGAGGGGTCAGACGAGTATCCCCGCACTGGATGGTCATATTAAACGGGCTTTGGAATGGAAGAACAAGGAGAGGAGACTTCAAGCAAAGGAGGCTCTTCATGCGTTCCGTTCGAAACCTCTCATGGAACCTTTCGTCGACTGGACGGAGGTGGCACACGAGCACACCTCGGCAGAAGTGAAGATTATCAACGGCGACATGCGTTTTATGTCGAAGATGCAGACAGAGAAGTTGCCGATATCTCTGGCTATTTTCGATTTCCCTTACGGCTTCGCTCACGAGGGACATGCATCTGATAACGAGACGTTTCCGGAGTCGGACGTCGTGGAGGTCCTTCAAAATCTGAAGGACGTCTCCAATGCCCCCCAATGGACAGTTGCGGGATTTTGCTCGGTGGACATGCTTCCTTCCATTCGCTCCGCCTTCCAGGAAGTTTGCAATGCAGGGCAGGAGCTTTTGACTTGGTGCAAGCCTAATGTAACGAATCCCGGTGGACCCCGGCTTGTGAGTGTCATGGAATTCTACGTGTTGGGCTATTACATCGAGACTGGGCAGCGCGAGATGGCGCACTATAATTTTGATCCCACGGATCCGCGTTGCAATTTCCAGCTCTTCAATGCTGTAATGCAGAAGTATCAGCACCCCGGTGGTGGTATCCTCTGGCCGTACTAGAAGCCCTACGCTTTGTACTCGTGGCTTGTGAACAAGTTTTCTCCTGCTGGGGCCTGCATTCTGGACGGTTTCTCCGGATCCGGCACAGGCGTCATTGCGTGTGTCAAGGCGAATCGGAATTGTCTCGTGGTGGAGATAAACACCAAATGCGCTAAGGGCATCACCACGAGGCTTTTGACAGACATCTGTGGCACACTTGCGCGTGAAATGCCAAAGAGGAAGCAAAAGGCATCGCAAGGCAACCCACCCTCAAAGTTGTCTGGGGACGCGAAGTTTGCCAAAAATGAGCTTGGCGTCGACGGAGACACAAACACTACTGCTGGAGCGGCGCAGATCGCCGGGGAGGGCGCAACAGTCACCCGCTTACGGGCCATCTGCTGAGGCTATTGAACATGCTGCCGGCCAGGCCGGTGAGCAGTCACCTTTTTCCGGTGAGCCGACTTCCGTGCCTGTTCCTGACGTTGTTCCCGACGCTGGACCCGAGGCTGAGATGCAACCTGCGGCCGAGGCTGTTCCCGCTTCTATAAACGTTCAGCAGACTGTCCTGAGCCTCACCATGAGCCAGGAATCGGACAGAACCACGGTTGGCGGCAGGAAGGGGCGCAAACGAAAGGCAGGCGGTGAAGAGGTATCGAGTCCACAGGGCGGGGCTACGATTGGCCTGAAGGCCAATACTCGCTTACGGACTGCGAAGTGACTGAGGCGACAACATATCCTTTGAATATAGGCCTATATATCATGTGTGGACACGCACTTGCGATATAGACCTATATTACATGTGTGGCCTCAAACCTCTGTCAGTTTCGTGTTCTGAAAATCTCCCGTCTTGGTCGCATTTTCTCCTTCTGCTTCTTCTTTTCACCATGTGTAGCCTCAAACCACGGATCGCCCTCGATGATGACAAAAGGTTCGGGAGATGCCGTTTGTCGGCATCGAATAATGATTTGCTTGGTACATTCCAGTCAAAGAGCTGAAGCAGAATCGACAACGATCCATGTAGCAAGGATTGTGTCTCTCGCAATTGGTGCGAGAGGAGAAACCAAACTTTATTCATTCACGAGTCTCCTGTTAGCATCGCATGGTCAAAATGAGGATTCCTATGGTTTGTGGCCTAGGAGCTGTCGTTTGTTGATGTCGAATAATGATTTGCTTGGTGCATTCAGGATCGACAACGGTCCATGTAGCTAGGATTGCGCCTCTCGCAATTGGTGTGAGAAGAGAAATCAAGCTTTAATCGTACACGAGTCTCCTGTGGTGTGTGCTGCTTTGCCTGGATGCCTTCCAGGATCGGTCGTCGGAGTGTGTGCTGCTTTGCCTGCGTCGTCGGAGTGTGTGCTGCTTTGCCTGGATGCCTCTCATAGAATTGGTCGTCGTCCCTTCCTGGTTGGCGCTGTGTGTTTTGGCATATAGCTTTGTTTTCTGCAGAATTGTTGTTGTGTAGAGTAGGCTAGCTTTTTATTTTTTAGGTCGTGGAAGTGGGAACCAGGCGCACTCGGTTCGTGGTTCAGACCGCAGTAGGTCGACAATTTTGGGAGTGTCATCATTACTGGGAACCATGTGTTCCGTTGTGCAATGTAGCCATTTAGAGGAACGAGGCCTGGGAGGTCAACCCAGGGGCACTCGACACAGGTGTGGTAGTTTTCGGGGACAGGGGGTACTTTAGTTTGCCTCTCCCAGGATTGGTCGTCATCTCTTCGTCATTCGAGCTGTGTGGTTTGGCACATGGCTTTGTTTTTTGCAGAACTGTTATTGCGTAGAGTAGGCTAGCTCTTTCTTTTTTAGGTCGTGGAAGTGGGAACCAGGCGCACTCGGTTCGTGGGTCAGACCGCAATAGGTCGACAATTTTGAGAGTGTCATCATTACTGGGAACCATGTGTTCCCTTGTACATAGTAGACATGTAGAGGAACGAGGTCTGGGGAGGTCCACCCAGGGGCACTTGGCACAGGTGTGGTAGTTTTCGGTACATTGTGGTACTTTAGTTTACACGTGGAGTGACTTAGTGGATCGTTTATGGTTTAGTTCTTTTGTTGGATTTGATTTAGTTCTTTTGTCGGACTTTTCTTTTTTTCTAAAGGTTAATTTTGATAACCCTCTATTTTTTTTTTCTAAAGGCTATTTCTGATAACCCTCTCATTTTCATTCGTGAGTTCTTGTTCACTTACCTTTGGGTAGACGACCACTCACTCTCTCTCTCTCTCTCTCTCTCTCTCTCTCTCTCTCTCTCTCTCTCTCTCTCTCTCTCTCTCTCTCTCTCTCTCACGCGCCCGCGCGCGCGCTTTCTCTCTCGTAGAAGGTGTCTCGGGCTAACAAAACAGTGTTATAGGCCTATAATCACGTAAAGGCCTCTAATCACTTTCGTCTGTGCCAGTCGAGTTTACAGACAAACACACGCATACAAGGACATAGTTCGCCACACACAGACAGACACAATCACACACACACAACCAAACGCACACAGGCACAGACGCACACAACCACACACACAAGAACGGACAGATACACACACACAGACACGCACACACAGGTGCTCACACACACATACACACACACACACTCACAAACACAACCACGCACACACAGACAGCCGCACACACAGACACAGACACATAGACAAACACACACACAGACACACAGACAACTCCCAAAAGTGTTGTAGGCCTGCAAGCACCTTTGCCTTGCCTGCCACACACACACACACAGGCACACACACAGAGGCACACACACAGACACAAACGACCATGTGCACACAGACACACACAAACACAGACGCACACTCAGAGGCTCACACACAAGAACACAGACACACACAGACACGCAGGCACACACACACACACACACAAACAGAGATACACACACACACACACACACAAACAGAGATACACACACACACACACACAAACAGAGATACACACACACACACACACAAACAGAGATACACACACACACACACACACACACGCACACACACACATATATAGACAAAGGCTTGAAGTTTTGAAAAGTATTTCCAGAACCGTTCCAGACTCATTTGTTTGTTATCTCAAAAAAACATGTTTATAGTTCTGCAAGATGTATGACACGATAAACGTATTCGGGGTTTTTTCGAACGCTCAAACATGTTCTCGAACATATTCTCTCAAACCTGAGCGAACATATTGTTTTCTACTGTTTTTTCGTTTTTCTTTTAATGAATTTTGAACTGGTGTACCTCCCTGGCAAAAGTTGATTGTATTCTTACTTTAAATAACATATATTTTTTGCTAAGGGTTTTTTTGTTAACTCAAAATTGATTTACAGTCCTGAAAAATAGTTTTCGCAGATCTTCGTTTTCGCCTAACTGATGAACATGGTCGCCTGCGGCGCACTTAGTGCCAACGGACTGTGATAGTCCTCTGGATACCCCTGATTGGTATTAGCGGGGTCTATGACCAACACGGGTGTGAGTTTGAGCGCGAGTGGGTTGTGTGTGTTGTGTGGGAGAGTGTTGCCCATAGCCTCAGCTGCTACTCGATGAAGGGTGGGGGACGATGAGAAAGGGAGGCACAACTACTGGAAGGTCTCGGTCAGCCTCTGCTGCTAGTCGATGAATGGTGGGGGACGATGACAAAGGGAGGCACAGCTACTGGCAGGTCTCGGTCTTTGTGTTAGGGTCTTTGTGTTAGGGACGATGAACGAACGACGATGGTCACAAAAAAAAAAAGAACTCACCACATCATCCAAATGCACACACGCACACACACGCATGTGCACATGTACACACATGATTGGTTGATTGATTGATTGGTTAGATGCACCAGCCTCAAGTACGCAAACACAGACACGCAGACACAGACATACACACAAACAGAGGTACACACAGACGCACACTGGGAGTCACGCACACAAGAACGCAGACACACAGACAAACACAGACACACAGACATAAAGACACAGACTTGAAGTGTCGAAAAAATTCCCCAGAACTATTAGAGGCCTTGAATCACTTTCGCCTGGGCCAGTCCGGCCCGGTCGTATTTGTACACAGACACACGCACACAAGGACACAGTTAGACATACACAGACACACGGACACAGACACACACAACGACACACGCACACAGGCACGCACACAGACACGCACACGGACACGCACACGGACACGTACACACACAAACACATACAACGACACATGCACACAGACACATACGGACACACTCACACAGTCCGTGTCTGTGTTTGTATGTTTTTCGTGTACCACACACGAACACAGACTCAGCCTGCGTCCTTGTCTTCATGTGCATGTGTTTATGTGTGTTTATGTCTGTTTTCGTGTGTGTGTCTTTGAGTGTGTACACTGACACAGACTAACACAAACACACACACACAAAGTAACATTCCCCAGAACTGTTATAGGCCTATAATCACTTTCGTCTGTGCCAGTCGAGTTTACACACAGACACACGCACAGAAGGACACAGTTAGACACACAGACAGACACAACCCCACACACAAGAACACACTGATACACACACACACACACACACACACACACACACACACACACACACACACACACACACACACAATCAATTTTATAAAAAAATGTTTATCTCTGTTTCTTTGGTATGTTTGTCTTTTTTCTTTTTCCTATGTTTTTTCTAAGTATGTTTGTCTCTAGCCGAGCACCCTCTAGCAGTGCTAAACAGTTGGTGGTTCCTCGTTTGGAGTGCCAACAACACTCTTAGGAGGACCGCTCGGTCCGGGTTGTCTGTGTTGCCTGTCGGTGAAGACAGATGGTCGTCGGAGTGTTCCCCTGGCTCGGTGGGTGGTGGGAACCAACAGTCTGCGGGAGTCTATCGTGATGTGAGTAGGTCATGTGCTGCTTTGCTCCGTGTTGGATATGTAGACTGTCTTGTCTGCGGTCTGTCGTGGTCTTGCTGCCCGTGCCGCTTGCTTTGCAGGTCTTCCTCGCTGCTCTGCTGCCTTGCCGCCTACCCGCGGGTCATGCCTTCG